AGCTGGCTGTGACCAAGCAGTGACCACAACCTTGCCCCTTGTCAGCTCTACTATACACCTGGGAATTCTGATCATTCACATAAACTTATAGGGAGAAACATTTATTTGAACTATAATACAGTTTCATTTCTTTTTCCTACTGGAACTAATGGTTTGGGGTCATCTAGTTGCAAAATGCAACACGATTCTAGAATGTAGCTAATAGTCTCTTGACAAGTATTGCAGAATCGGTAGATCTTCAGACCATGTGTCACCGGGTTGGACCTCTCCATGGGTCTACTTTCAGACTTATCTGAAAGACTCCACAGTGAATTTAGGGATTTCATATTTGCTATCCCCTTTCTGAGAAGCCCTGGTAGCATATAGGTAAAGCACTTGGCTGCTAAACAAAATGTCAGTGGTTCAAATCCACCGGCTGCTTTGCAAGAGAAAGATGTGGCAGTCTGCTTCAGTAAAGACTACAGCCTTGGAAATCCTATGAGACAGTTCTACTCTGTCCCTACAGGGTCACTATGAGTAGGAATTGACTCAGTGGCAACAAGTTTCATTTTGGTCTATTCCCTCTCTACCCTAGACCTTGAGGATTCAGCTTCTCTATCTAAAAGGGTTTGAGATACCTGGTTAAAATTCATCTGGGTAGAATTAGGGACTTTTGGTTATGGCAGTGCAAAGAGGTCAGTGATTTCTCTCAGCAAAGAAAAATCTAAAACTGAACAAAATTGTTACAACAGCCCTTTTAAGGATGTAGAAACAGAGCTTTAAAAAACACCAAACTCAGTGCTGTCAAGTCGGTTCCAACTCACAGTGACCCCTCCTTGGGTATCCGAGGTGGTATCTATGGAAGTGAATCACTTCAGGCAAAAATGGAGAATTCTTTATTCTTAAGAACTGCTAGGATTTAGGGCAAAAGTGGTAAAAAAAACTGTTGGAGAGAACTGTATTTTCACTGAAAACCAGTAGTTTTGCTGCCTGAGGGGGCAGATTCTTTTTGGGGCAAAAAGTGAAAACTTGTGGATTTGTTAGCTGAAAGTGGCAGCAACAATGTGCATAACTGGGGGAGATCCAGGAGAGCTCAGCAAATAGTGGAAGTTAGAGACTTGAGAACTGGCTGCTGTGTTGAGTGTGTCCTGGACCCACACATTGATTAGTTGGCAACCTCTGCCTGAATCATTGGCCAGCCACTAAGTTATACAGATGCTGGGGAGACCCTTAGAACATCAGCCTAACAATAACAAAACAAAGATGGACAGGGTGCCCAGACCAAGAGTGGGAGAGAGAAAGCACAAATGACCAAATACAGGAATGAATGCATGGATATCACTAAGGATCCGAAAGAATAAAAAGGATTTTAAAGGAATATTTCGCTGGGCCTTAGCTTCCTTCTCTGTGATGTGATGTTGGATGCTACATGATATGAAAGTTCTCTTCAGTTACAAGAGAGTGTGGTTCTGAGTTCTGAAAAAGCAATCAAAGTGAACCCCTGTTTTCATGTCTACCCTTGATGGACATGACCTTTACCACCAGAATGATGATCTTAATCATGTGTAAAGTGTTGTGTCTTTTGGGATTACCTAACATCTAAATTCAGGCACTGTAATTTTATTCCTCCTTTTAGCAGGTACATAGTTAGTTTTAGAAACTTACTGAATAAAGCAATGTCAGCTTCTGTCCCAGAGGTCCACTGGCTCTATGGAGTGACACACCTGTTCTCTTTGGTGGAGTAGACTGCACCTTATCCTTCCATCCCTTCCCTTTTAAGTTAAAATTAATGTTTACTACACCAGTGCTTAGATTTAATGCCAGGGCAAAGGGGAAAAGTCTTTGTCATGGCCCAGTTAGTCTTCTTTCCTCAGCCATATGGTGCATAGTCCCAAGGAGGGGTGAACAGGTATGTTCATCTGTGGGGGCCAAACCTTTACTCACTTCCCAGTCCTTGTTCACAGAATTCACTGCATTTTTTCCCATTGCAACACACATGGCCACCTATAAAATGTCTATAACTGTATACTTCAGGGTTTCAAGTTGGTAGTTATTTGGAGTAGTTAAGGGCATGTGTATATCTCCTATCACCCTACAGGAACCTTACTGGAGGTATGTTAAGCTAATGAGCTATTGCACTTAGGGGAACATTGATGACCAACAAACAGCTGAGGATTGTGTTTTCCATTTTGGAACTTGAGAATGATGCTACAGCTATGATAACTGCTATTCATTCATATAGGCTTATGCTGTGGTCACATGTCATGCGTAGGAGAAGCTTAAGATAACTGAACAGTTAATTGATACCTGGTTGAATTCTTAAGTAATTAGCTGGTTTGTAAATCCATAATCTCTTACTTTTCAGATCCATCAATGCCTTCCTGATTGTGTATTTATTTATATTGCTGACCAAAGCTGCAGTATGCACTACTCTAAAGTATGTTTGGCAAAGTAATCCATACAATGATGAACCTTGGTATAATCAAAAGACCCAGAAAGAGCGGGAGACGTTGAAGGTAATTAGTTACATGCTGAAAATTTGAAGTCTAGTACTTGGGGCTGAGGTGCCTTTGACTGAGAAATATCTTTGTATGGTATCCCTAAGCCATTCAGTTTCTAAGGCGTTTTAGGGTTTTGTTTCATTTTTTACTTTTGGCATCTATTCTCATGTTTAGTCCTTTAGTTAAGAATTTGAAGCAACTTGGCAAGAAGTGGTGGCATGATGAGCTTGTGATAGAGCACAATAGGAACATAATAGGTACTGACTTGTAAACCTTGACCTCACATTCATATTCACAGGGAACAGAGAACTTAAGTGAAAAAGCGTTAAGATGAAAGGTACACGTGCTACAATACTGCATTACCAGTGGCAGCAAACGCTAGGCTATGGGTGAATGCATGCACAGGTGAGAAGATCAGGTGGGGGTAGGCAAACAGGAATGTACCCAAGACCAAGGATAGATTTGGCTAAAGATAGTCTTAAATAAGGACTTGTGCTACAAAAATATCCATATACAGTACAAAAGTAATGAGACAAGGTTGGAGTGGTTTCTCACAGACAACAAACACCTTGAGGGAGAGAGTCACCGGGCTTGCGGGCTCAGGACCATAGTCTTGAGACACCGTGCTCAACTCGCACAACATAGTACATAAAGATCTTGTTCTGCAACCTACTTTGGTGAGTAGCAACTGAGTTCTTAAAAGCTATTGAGCTAAGATGCCAACTATTGGTCTCCCCTCATCTGGATCAAAGAAGAGTGAAGAAAATCAAAGTCATTTGGAAACAATAAGTCCAAGGATATGATGGACCACAGGGTCCTCAGCCTTCATGACCCTGAGACCAGAAGAACTAGATGATGTCTGGCTACCAATGCCAACCACTCAGAAAGGGATCAAAATTGGAGATCCTGGATAGAGTGGGAGGAAAAATATGCAACAAAATTCAAAACCACAAAAATGACCAGAATTACTGGTCAGATAGAGGCAGGTGGAACCCCCAAGACTGTGGCCCCGGGTTATCCTTCAGGCTCGGAACTGGACTCACTTCCATGTATTAGTTCTCAGCCCAACAGTAGAAAGACCTACAAGCAGAACACCTGCCCTAGAGAAATACACTCCCAGACCAACCAACCATGAGACGTCAGAAGGGCCCAGGGAAGGGACAGTCAGAAGGAGAATATGGGAGGGCAGCTTTTTATGGTGGAGGGTTGTAATCAGAGCCATGAAACCAAACGTGCATAACTCTTGTGTGTAAAACAAATCTGCTTTGTAAATTTGCACCCACGTCACAATAAAAAAAAATTTTAAATATGCATGTGCTAAAGAATAATGATAAAACTGAGAGTATTTGTGGTGGTGGTCTCACATATGATAGTTTGTATTACAGTGGTATAGTGCAGCAGGAAGTTGCTTTATAGCAAAAGAAATATTTTTAGCATTGAAATAAAATGGTTAACTGTTTCTTTATATCACACGTTTCTGATAAACTGTGCATCTGATTAGCATGAACTATTTCTTTTGTTTTAGGTTTTGAAAATGTTCACCGACTTCCTATCATTTATGGTTCTATTCAACTTTATTATTCCTGTCTCCATGTATGTCACAGTAGAAATGCAGAAATTCTTGGGCTCCTTCTTCATTTCGTGGGACAAGGACTTTTATGATGAAGAAATTAATGAAGGAGCCCTTGTTAACACATCAGATCTTAATGAAGAACTTGGTCAGGTTAGAGTACCTTTTTTTCTAGGTAAACATGCTGAAAATGTTTTTTTTAATCTGATTTGATAATGTGTGTGACGATTTCATGTTTGAAATTATGATTCAGAATACATTCCTTTATAATGAAAGCAATTAATGTTTTCATAGCTGTGGCATCAGTTCTGCTGGCATTTTTGAGAAATGTCCCAATTTATGTGTTACATTTGAATACTCCAAAAATGATCTTTAAAACTCATCTGGTAATTTTGTTAGATTATGGATTATCACTCTGAAACAGGAATATGTGGTCTTCATCATCATCCATAACCATTTGGGGATAGACTGTGGAGTTGTGAATATAGCTATTTAATAAATGCATTTTGTTCCATAAATAAAATTGACCAGAGTTGTCCTACTGACATTTTGCAGTACACTTCTGAGCAGATGGCATATAGACCTAGTGAACAGAGTTGTTTCCTCCAGTACAAGAATTTAAATGAAGGGAAAAATGTAAGGGACATGCACTCTTCAAAATGCTTTTTGCTATGTATTCCAATGTAGCCCAGCCTGTGGTCTTGTTTCTATCCCAGTCCAGTTGTGAATCTTCAAGAGATGACTTCTTAGGTTCTTATCAGAATTGAGAAAGTGTTTTCCCTTTGTTTGAATTTAGTGTGTCATGTAATGATCTTCACAAGCTGAGGGAGGTTTTTGGCTTGCATTTAATTTTCATGATATTTAGAATGTCAGGGCTGTAGAAATGTCATTTCTGTGACTGGGAGATGTAAATTCCATTAATGGAACTATGTGGATGGAACAGGGCCTCAAATTTATTTTAAGTGGTGCTGATTTTCATGTACACCTCAAAGCTCTCTCTCCCATAGTTTCACCCCCCCACCCCACCCCAGTAATCCTGTTGACACAGTGCTCACCTTAACCAAAGTAACCTTTTAACATCTGCAGTCACCAAGGGTGAAATGACTCTCCAGTCAACATTTTGTTCAGACCTAACCTCAGGACTCTGGTGTCCCAGACCATGGGGTCTACATTCCACAGAGTTAGGATACTGGGGTACTAGGCATTGGACAATAAATGAATACATGATCATGATTGGCTTTTCCCTTCACTTTAGATATTCCCAAAAAATTCTTTTGTGGGTGACCTGAGGTGCCACAGTGGAAGGAAGCTTTTTTTTTTTTTCTCTCGTAAAATTTTTTGTGTGTATGTATGCATGCATGTAGTGTTCTCTCCCTTCCCACCCCTGGTAACCAACAAATAAAAGTTTCCTTCCATATATAAACCTTTCTTTGACTTTTCGCAATAGCAGACTAATTCAATATTTGTCCTTCTGTGATTGACTTATTTCACTCAGCATAAAGTCCTCTAAGTTCATCCATGTTATGCAGTGTTTTGCAGATTCTACATTATTTTTTAATGTTGCATAGTATTCCATTGTGTGTATGTACCAGAGTTTGCTTATCCATTCTTCTGTTGATGGGCACCTAGGTTCTTTCCATCTTTTGGCTACTGTAAATAGTGCTGCAATGAACAAGGGTGTTCTTGTCCTGGCTCTCACTTCTTTAGGATATATACCTAGTAATTGGATGGCTGGGTCAAATGATATTTCTAATTCCAACTTTTTAGGGAATTGCCATATTGCTTTCCACAGTGGGTTGTATCATTTGACAGTCCTACCAACAGTGTATGAGAGTCCCAATCTCTCTACATCTTCACCAGCATTTGTTATTTTCTGTCTTCTTGAACTTTGCTATTAGTGCTGGGGTGAGATGATATCTCATTGGGAAGCAAGCATTTTTCATGAAGGGACAGTGTTAACTGAGTAGAAGTGCTTAGTCTTAAAAAAGGCATTAATCTGCAGAGTTTTTGCATGGATTTTTTTAAATTGAATATTCTAGCCTCCTCTGATGAATCTTTCCCTGATAGCCAGTTTATTGGCTGACACTAGATGTTGAACACATCTAGCTAGGTAAGTTAACCTACCCAACGATGAGCACGGCCAGCGTGGGGTAGCCTCAGCTGACTCCTCCTGCTAATAGAATAGTCATCATTCCACATCCAACACAGCGCTCACTAGACCAAGGCCCATTTCACTTGATGCAACTCTTGTCTCCTTCAGATCTCCACCTCGGCAGATTCTGTATTACCTGTGAGAATGCAATCCTGTTCTTAACCATCTAGACTGTATGACACTACAGAAAGTAAAGTGGAGCTTTGGGTAATGATCTGGTAAATTTGATCTGTGAAAAGAAGTCACCATTTTCATTTCAGTTGCCATCCCCTTCCTCTACTAAACTCTGCACTTCTGGGTGTGATTGTCATTTAGTCAAATCATTAAGTTCATAGCCAGACCACTGCTTCAATTAATACAGTGTAAAAACAACATCATTATCAGCTTATATATATAGAAACTAGGTGAATGAAAGCTTGAAGAAGTCTTAAAATAGTTTTGTAGGCTATTTGGCATTCAGTGAATTGGTACTCACAAAATTAAGTGGAGCTACTTTTCCATTTGATGAATCATAATTTAAGATCTGTGGAACTTTTTATGTTACTAAAAGTAATGTCAATTAGTTTCTATCAATAGCATTGTAAACACTTGCTTCACCTCTTCAAAAATGACCACCCACATTGGTATTACACACACACAAAAATAGATATTTTGGGGACAGTGTTTGACATGAGAGACAAAAGGAAGTAGACTAGTCAGTTGGAACATAATGGGATCTTGTATGATCAGACCTCAATCATTTAGACACCAATGTGGTTTCAGTCTATCTTGACAAAATTGTGGAGTTAGCCGCCTGTTTCCTATCCCTCCCAGTCCCAGAACTGTGCCTAATGGCATGACTTTATAATCTAAGTAAATACTTGGATTGCAATAATTCAATCCAGTGATTATTCATTAAGCTTCTCTTGCATGTCACATGTGTTCTAGGTACAGGGATTACTATTAGAAGGTAAATGTTGTTGTTGTTGTTATGTACTGTTGAGTCGGCCCCGACTCATAGGGACCCCTCCTTGGGTTTCTGAGGCAGTATCACTACGGAAGTAGATTGCCCAACCTTCCTTCCGAGGGTGGCTGATGGGTTTGAACCGCCAGCCTTCTGGTTAGTAGTCAAATGCCTTAGGCACTGTGCTACCAGAGCTCCTAGAAAGTAAATAAGAAAGCTAAAATGGTTCAACATCTGGTTGGGGAAACATATCAAAACCTAACTGTACAAGTGTGTTCATAATCAATCAGAAATTTAGGGAATGTGGGGTAATGGAAAGAGTCCAGTACTGTGTGATTTTGATCAAATCAACAGCAATAATAATCAATATGTATATTGTACCTTAAGGAGCTCTGGTGGCATAGTGATTAAAGCCTCTAGCTGCTAACTAAAAGGTCAGCAGTTTAAACCCACCAGCTGCTCCAGAGGAGAAAGATGAGGCAGTCTGCCTTTGTAAAGATTACAGCGTTGGAAAACCTATGGGGTAGTTCTCCTCTGTCTGTAAGGGGCGTTATGAGTCAGAATTGACTCGAGGGCAATAGGTTTGGTTGGTTTTGGTGTATACCGGACCTTATTGCTTTCAGAACTTGTTTATTACTGAGATTTATTTTTCAATCTTGATAGTCTTGTGCAGTAGGTATTATTTAAGGTTAATTAAAGTTGAGACAGATGGAGAGATTTTTCTAGGTCACAAATGTGTAGTGGAGCCAAGATTCCAGTTCAAGTATTCTATTAGGTTGAACCATATGAAAATACCAGTATTTGACCCACAAAATTAGCGGTTTCATCCATTCCACCTGTAGTGCAGGACTCTTGCTATCTGATAGCAGGTGCCTTACCTTCAGCTTTCCACCCATTAAATGATGAGTTGAGCTTGCCACGGAGAGGGGACTCCCCACAAACTCGGTCCCATCATTAGAGGGGGAGAGGCTGCTGCTTAAAAGTCAGAGTCAAGCAGTAGCCTCTCCCTCTTTATTCCTCACTCTCCCTTTTAAATGTGAGAGTATCATAGCTGGCACCTCTTCCGCTTTCCTGAGTATATGGCATACATTAGAGCGGTGGTTGTCAAAAGTGTGATCCGAGGACAAGCAGCATCAGCATCACCTGAGAACTTGTTAGAAATGCAAATTATCTTCTGTTTGCTACTGAACTAGAAATTCTGAGGGCCCAAAATTCGAGGTTTGAGGGTGGAGCCCAGCAATCTGAGTTGTAACAAGCCCTGCAGGCGATTCTGATGCATGGCGAAGTTCCAGAACCATTGCGTTAGGCTGCAGTTTGTTGGCCTTTACGTGTGAGATTCAGTGCACACAGATCCAGACTGCATATGCTCTTCCATAGAGGTAACGCGTTTCACTTTGTGGTTTTAAAGCTATTGCCCTTGAACACTCATTAAAAAAAGGTTTCTGAATAGGTTAATGCGCACTTGAGTGCAGAAGGTAAAAAACTCTGGACAAACCTTCAGGGAAAAATGAAGGTTAATAATTTTAATTTAAAAAAAAAGCCCCAAAGAGTTTCATTTTAGCTGGAAAAATTGAGACAATACATGAATAATACCATTTGGATTAATTTAAAGAAAGAATTCAAACTTGGCTGGCTAACAGAGGAAAAAAGGAAGATCGGAATGCTATATTTGTGCCAGTGCTGCTACCGTGAAAGGCTTTGAAAAATAATTAGAAAGCAACCACTTCTGGAGTTTGTCTCTTTCTCCCTTCCATAACACAAACCTTAATCTTGGGCTTACACTTGTTCCTGTCAGCCCATAATTTTAACTGTTAAAGCATAAATTGCAAAAAAAAAAAAAAAAATGGTGGGTTTCAAAAAGCCAGATGTTATAAATAGAAGAGATAAAAACTGAGCTAAATTGGAAATGCTCAGTATGGTTTATTTTACATGGAAAATGTATTTCACATCTTACGTTTTCCATTATCTATGAAAATATACCACTTGCCTGCTAACCAGACGGCTGGCGGTTCAAACCCACCAGCCACTCCTCGGAAGGAAGGTTGGGCAATCCTACTTCC